TTTCTCTCGCTTTGAAGGCGGATGAGACGAGCGGCTGGAACGGGCTCTCCCCCGCAACGCGAACGTCACTGGCCGCGGGGGCAGGCAGAGGGCTTGGCCGAGGGATAGGTGGGAGTGAACCGTCTTGGTCTGTTCCTTTCCTTACCCCAACTCTGATAGGCATTTCCCCACCTACCCGCCGCCTGGAAAGAGGAAGGACGGTGGAAGGGGTTATGAGCAGCTTATTTACGCGGACACTCAATTTAAGCCCTCGGATGTCTCAGGCTTCAACTTCTGGGAGTAAATGGTATCGTGGCTTGGGGCAAGAGACTGCAGGTTGTCGACTCAGACTTCGAGGGGGGCACTGTGTTATTCCCCTGACCGCCGGCGTGATGAAATCTTGCTTAGATGAGTAGGCACAATTCTTGGGCGGGCCTTTTATGTAACGTGCTTTCGGTCGGTTTCAGCAGTTTAATGTTACCTGCGTGCGTGTTCCCTGGACTGTAGTTGCCAAAATTGCTACCAGCCGTTCTTGTAAAATAAGCGTCTTAGCAAGAAGGGCCGGCAGAGAAATGGAATCCAAGAGCCGAATAGGATTCCGGGCACGCACGTGGCCTGTCTGGAGCTCCCGAAGCAGCTGCTGGGCAGCTGTCGCGCGGTCCTCGGAAAAGACGAGTCAGTTGTGTTTTAGAGCTGAAACCGTGCTGAATCATCTACAATAATTGACTTCTGAGGTTTCAGGCTGCCATAGATTTTACAGCTCAGGGCCCACCTGAAAAATTTAAGCTGTTGCAGGACAGCTTAAAAAATATCAAATGTTTTTATTTAAAATCGTTTTTATCTTATAAGCTATAAACAGACACACACATTTACACATGTGCGCGCGGACACACAGATACACACGGGTTAAGAATGCCTGGTTTATGGACAATCCATAGTTAACAGACTATTGTAGCAAAATTGGAGTTAAATACACAATGGTTTGAGTTAAATACACAATGCTACTTACACAATATTACACAGTAATACTGTTCCAGCTTATATACAAATTTGACTTAAGGACAAGCCTTGCAAAAACTCGTTCTTAAACTGGAGACAACCTGTACTTACATACATTGCTGTTTTGCTCCGTCTTGACCAGACGTGGATTTGTTTGTTTATTTATTTGATAAATTTACACAGCTGCCCATCTTGCATACATGATTTTGAGAGGCGTACAAAGTTAAAAATGAGGAATTAGCTTGTTTCTTGTTGGCTGTCTCATATTTGAAATACATTTTAAAATTGAAAAGAATTTTCAGGGAATAGACATGTCATACTTTTTTTTTAACAAGTAACTTTAAATTTAACACATCTTTTAATATATGAACAGTACAGTTTCTTTATATGTACATTCAAAACTAAATCCTTTTGAATTCAGTGGGACATTCACAGGCATGAATTCAGCTACTCCATAACTGAATGACAGGACAGGTTCTTTATAACAGTGATATATTAGCTGCATTTGCCATTTCCAATGGAGCAAAACAGGGTTTGTGTGCTAGCCCCAGTCCTATTCAATCTGTTCTTCACTTACATGTTGTCATGTGCTCTTCAGGGTCTGAAGGAGGGAGTGTACATCAGGTACCGATTGGATGGTGCTCTCTTTGACCTTCACCACTTGAACACATGGATGAAGTACCTCCATACAGTCATCTAAGAACCCTCTTTGCTGATGATTGTGCTCTGCTGGTGCACAAAGACAGTGATCTACAGTTGATGCTGAACAAATTCTCAGCTGCTGCTATGCTCTTTGGCCTATCAGCCTGAAGAAGACTGAAGTACTTTACCAGCCCATGCCAAATGCCAACCCCGTAGAACCAAAAATTGCTGTTTATGACACCCAGCTGACAAATGTAAACAGCTTCAAATACTTGAGAAGCATCATCTTAAGTGATGGGTCTTTGGACTCTGTACCGAAGGCACATCAAACAACTGGAGAAATTTCACATGTGCGCTCTCCGCTCCATCACTGGCATTCGTTGGCAAGACCCTGTCTCCAACCTGGAGGTCTTGGATTGCGCAGAGTCCACCAGCATTGAGTCCCTGATTATCAGAGCCCAGGTGCTGTGGGTGGGACTCGTCATTAGAACAGATGACCGCTGTATGCCTCTCTAGTTGCTCTATAGTGTACTGGGGTCTGGGAAGAGACCTCAACATTGACCACACAAGTGCTACAAAGACGCTGTGAAAGAAACTCTACACCACTGTGACATCCAGCCAAGGGAACTAGAAGCTGCGGCTGCTGACAAAACCTGCTGGCGAGCTCCGTGCTATTAAACCTCCACTGATTCTGAAGACAGGTGCCGCCAAAAACTGATAGAAAACCATGAGCAGCCTCACTGAACAACACCCATAATTACTATAATAATGGACTTCCAGTGCCCCCATTGTGCTAGACTCTGCGCTTCCAGATTGGGACTGCAGAGCCATCTCTGTGTCCACAGATGAACTGCACAACAGTGTATCTTCTTTGAACCCAGAGGACTACATTTAGTAGTTTCTTTATATGTCCATTCAAAAGGAAATCCTTTTGAATTCAGTGGGACGTTCACAGGTATTAATTTTATATACTTTTATATAGGTAAGAATGTTTTTTGTGTCTTATTTTCAGGACAGTATTCCCATCTTAACTAGAGGAGGTTTAGAAATTGTTTACATTTCAGTATCTTTCTGCCACCTGCTGGCTATATAATGCCAGTGGCTTTGCTTACACTTCTTTATTCCAAACCTGGTTTTTGCATAAGAAGGTGTGAATCAGGCTCATAAATCAGTATTGAGTGAGGAATAAAAGGCAGGTATATTTGCTTTTTTATATTCCCTTCAAAGGTGAGGATGAATTCATACTATAGTTTCTGATTTTAAGAGCAATTAGAAAATCCTTACACAAATTGGTTTCATGCAAAAATTTAAACTCTGCTGGATGTGTATTGTCTAAGAACTATTCTCACAGCTTTGCTATTATAACTCAGCTCTTCCACTTCCTTGTGCCAATAATATAGTTAAATTCAGTTTTGGATATTCCATCTGATGATATCCATGTATATAGGAGTTGTTCTAATTGTTGGAAAACTGTAAGCAATTAAGAAATCACTTCCAACTTTGGCACTCCACTTTCCAACCACAAGCAGCACATTTGATTGCATGTTCTGTTGAGTTCAGATTGAACTGGACTATAAAACTTGTCAACTTCTTCTGGATCAGCAGTTGGAGCATAAACTTGGATAATCATATTAAAGGGTTGTCCCTGAAGTTTAATTGATACTAATTGGTCACTGATTGTATTGTACTCAAGTACTGTCCTTGCTATATCCTTCCTGACTAAAAATAATGTTGTTCCTTGTGTCTTGAGTAGTACACAGCATGATCTTCTGAAAATGTCCAATCCCAGTATATTCCAATTCCTTGTTGCCTAAGATGTCAAAAATGTAGTAGATTCATTTCACCTTTTAGTGTTGAGCTTTCCCATGTTCATGCTTTTTACGTTCCAAGTTCTCACAGTAATTCTGTCTTTGCAGCTTTCTGTTTTCTTTTCCTGCATAGCAACATCAGCAATTAGACGTCCTGGAGGCTTTAATCTAAACACCATTAAAGCTCTGAAAGATGCTCAGCTCTTCCTCAGTAGTATATTGAGGGCTTTCCAACTTCAGCCCATCACCCAGCATTATATCATCCATCACTTTACAGGTACTCCTTGACTTATGACAGTTGAGACCAGAATTTCCATCCCTAAGCAATGCAGTCGTAAAGCATGACCACATCACTTAGTGATGGCAATCCCTGCAGTCCTGGTTGCTGCTGTTAGGCAAGGCAACTTCCTGCCAGCTTCCCACAACCAAAGTCAGTGGAGAAGCCGGCAGGAAGTTGGAAGTCCCAGGCCATAGGCATGTAAGTGGCTGCTGATGGGTGGGGGAGGGAGCAAGGGTGTGTGTGGGAGGTGTGGGTTGGGTCAGGGAGGGGTGCCTGAGGATGTGGTGCCGGTTGGGGAGGGTGTGGGTCAGGTCAGGTGCATGGGGGTGTACAAGAAGTATGGATCAGGTGGGTGTGTGAGGGTGCGGTGTGGGTTGGGGAGGGTGTGTTGGGGGGTGTGAGTGGCTGGCGCAGCATGAGCACAGAGGGGCTGGGGGGGGGGGGACGGGGGGGGGAA